CAGACATTTTAAACCCCACAAACTATTTATCTCTGAGCTTAAAAAGGATTGAACGCTAATTCTTTTGAGTCGCTAATCATGTTACTGTGTGTCACCAATTAACAGCAACTCTTAAATTTCAGTGGCCTAAGCCCATTAAAAAGTATGAACATCCATAGTAGTTGACGAATTGTCAAAGAAAGAAAGAAATTTTTGAATTCGTTGTATTTAGTTCATGGATTCTAAGATTGGAAATTTTTTAGTATAACTAGGAAGATGATGGAGAAAAACGCCTAGCTTAGTGCATAGTGAAAATCAACTGCAGTCGTTAAATCATTAGTTGACTGAAACTGGGGGGAGAGATCCATTGGATTTCAGCCCTAGACTGAATGGAAATTTGTCTGCCATAATGGTTCAGGCTGTCTCTCATGAAGCAAAGGGTTCGTGCTACTGATGAGTTTAGGATAGGGTTGGAGCAGCTGTTCAGTGCTATCAGGTTTTCAGTGGTTTTCTGACTGGTTTCAACTAGCAGTGATGGATCCACGAATCTTACTTCAAAATTGGAATCTGTGAAGAACCAACTTTTACAGTTTAGAATCAGAAACAATGTCAGGTAATACATACGGTTTCAAACCACCAAAAGAAACGATTAATTCATAGTTAAAGGAAAATTTTAAACCACTGATCTGAATTGCGAAAAACTCCCTGCCGTAATAACATACTGAAATACTGAATAAAGGCAGAGGACAATGTAAGCTTCCCTTTTACCCATTCACTGAATGCATAGGAGTAGTGTAAGCACGATACAGAGCATTAAACTTCTGATGAAGTGACACACTACAGGTGATCATTTTATAAAAATTACTTACTGTATAGTTAATTTACGTAGAGACATGACTAGTTTCGAAAGTTCAGCTAGATACTCATCAGTAATAATCATTTGTGTAGACCGCACAAAGCGCGCACTTTCCAAACTTATCCCTGAGCATTATGCTACACGGTTGTCAACGGTAGAACACAGATCAGTTAACGGTTTAATTCGTGATAATTTGGTCGGCTGTAGGTATAAAGCTCCATCACAGTCGTCCTTTAATGTCATCTACGGAGCTATAGAGAGCAGCCGAAAAGAATTGCATTTTCAAACTTGCGTACGGAAGAAGCTCTGGCAATTCACTGTTTCAAACATGATCTTTGAACGAAGAGGAGTTGGGTTTAATGTCTTAACTTGCTATATTCTCAATCTTTCCACATTTTTCCTCCTTCTTTTTCAGTTTTGTTATAATTAGTTAATTTACTGTTGTTATCTTAATTAGGACCCTTTTTTCCTTTCCTCACTCACTCTGCATCTACCAAGTGGATGCTAAACCAACACATTCCTCACCTTCCAATAATTTCCACATTGTCAAACTCCTTGTCCTTTTTCGTTATTTGCATTACTATACAGCTCCTTTCCACTCTATTTCAGTTTTAACAGGACTCTAATGATGTAACTATGGACTTTTTTCAGTAATAGATTGTCATGCTTGTGACACATGTAAATATGATTGTGCTTATTTGGAAAACGAAGTGGTCGGGAAAATTTGCTTCGCTGAATTATCCATTCTTTCATTTATGACTTGATAAGCACCTTTCTTCGAAAAGATAATTCTTTTTTCATATTAGGCACTGGAGCCGTTTAAGGAGTATGTGTTATTTATCCACTAGTTTACGGTAACGAGAACTGAACATAGTATTCACCAAAGGAGTCTAGACAGGTTTAAGAATATTTTCTGTGCTCGTTACGCACGAACTTATAGAGCTAATATGTCAAATGTGAAAACTAAGCGTCTTCATATTACTGTAGTTAGATTGGGGTTATAATCGGTTCCACGAACAGCTGGATGCAATAAAGCATTATTGTGCCTTTTAAGGATATAACTACATATTCTGTGAATCTAGGGGCTTCTTACTCCTAATGGCCACCAGCAGATGCGGTAAGGAGACGAATACTTATCGATGTTTGATTGTGAAGGTGAATTCATGTTACCACAAGGTTTGAAACAATACCTTCCAAGTTGCTGATCGTTACCGCAAAATTTCAGATCAGTCAGTAATACTACCCGGCTTTTGACTTCTCTTCATTTATAAAGTATTGAAACCGCCTTTTATGTATGCAGGACGAATGCATTTTTTAACTTTTCGAACAGTGTAAATCTTCCTCCATCTAAGAGAAATTTGCAATTAAATTATAAGAATGTACGGGATGTATAGGCTTGTCTATAAGATGACTTAAAAGCGAGAATCTAGACTGCAGTCGAAACCAGATTCCAATAGTAACACTCAACATTAAAACAAGCAAAAATGTAAGCAACTTCAAAGTAAAAGACAGACAAGTCAACATAGAACTTCACATAGAATTTTGGCAATTCAAATTGCAGCATAGAAAAGGGAATACTATAGTAAATTACTAAGACTGGTATAAAGAACGACAACATTGAAAGGCGAATTAGTATTACATCATAGCACCAGGGTTATATGACCCAATAGGTTTATTCATAAATATATTGTTTCCGAATGACTATCTAGAGGACAGCAGGCATACATACTTCTGCTTTAGAAGAAACTGAATATCTAATATGCCATCAGCTATCAAATATATAGTATCGATGCTTTAATTACTGTGTTAACAATCGCGCTGACTCGTAGTAGTTTGATAGTGTCCATTGTTGCTGTGAAAGTGTAATTTTTTCTTATGCAACTTGACTCCTAACTTATCTCCAGTTTAAAATGGGCGGTGAGCATAGGCAGCACATCAAAACCGATGAGGTTAACCCACTAATTATGATTGTATTTTACAGCCGACCCATTTTATACCATGTGGTAACATATGTAGGCCACATTTATAATACATATATCAGTCAGTTTCATTACAATAATAGCCATATATTCATACTAACTTAACCAATACACTTAAAAAACTGTCACTGGAAATTTCACCTCACTGTTGAAAAAAGTGCAAAACAGAACATTGCAATCTTAGGTAAATAAATGTGTTAGAGTTAATAAGAATGGTATATTTTCCTTCTTCCTTCTTTAGACTTTTGCTCACTGTTGACTGAGAGTGACAGACCTGTCCAGATTATGCACTTACTTCCATGGTGCATTCATGTTAAATTATCATGCTTCCTGTGTTTAATTAATTGTTAAATACATACCGCTCCCACTTCCCCTTTACCCTATATACCTTGTAATGAAAGAAAAAAGGATATCTATTTCCCCCGAAATTGTCTAACATTTTTTGTTAAATAAAACTACTATGTAATGTAAGGTTTCTTCACAATTATTGAATCGGATAAATTTCAGTATCCTAAATTCAAGACATAAAAAGTTGTTCCTTAGTGCACGAGTGCTTTACTTCCCTCAGTGCCAGCCGTTGACACAATTTTTCATGTTAAACATTAATCGTCTTTATGTTAAAGACTGAAATCTAAGGTAACTTTTAATTTGTTAAAGACAGAATTCATTCTGTCAATTCTGTTGAAGACTGACAAAACATCACCTTTGTTTGTATGTCTACTTCTCTGCTGGCTTTTTTTTTAGCTAAAACGAAACTGAAAGTAAAGTAGGATAACCAAAGAAACAACCCTTAGTTTCAGTTTGCCTTGTTTTAAACAGTATCAGTAGAGATACTGTTTATATTGTAGAGGGGTTCAGTTCAAGAAAAATGTTTACTTTCCTCAAAGTCATCATATGTTTTATTTGTTTGGTAAACAGAAAAACTAACGACTTAGTAAAGTTTACATTGGAACGACTGTTGCAACAATTAATAAAGCCAACTTGACTATTGACAAGAATACAAGATAACTCGAATTTAAAAAATCAAAAGTGCTCTCTGTACGAAAAATTTTAATAACTCAGTCAGAAATTGATTATCATCTCGCGAACCAGGGTTAAGAATATGGCAGGGAAAATAACCTTTAACTTTAAATAAAAGTGCATTAATTTTATTCAGTAACCAACTCTTCCCAAAACTAATCTATTCACCTTGTAAGTTATAATTTGATAGTCTAATGTCCTTAAGTTTCTGTGAGTTGCATTAGTTTAGTACGACAACACCAAAGCAGCAATTGTATGCATCCGTAAAAGAAGGAATTTATTCGGTGGGTTTTTCGAAACAATTTCATATTCTAAGAGTAATGAAAGGTTTGCTGAATTCACAAAAATACCAATTTCTCCATATACTTCATTAACAATTTCGATTTACTCAAATCATCTCCTCGTATTGTGTGGTTTTGTGTCAATCTCAGGACAATTAGGCTGTTCAAAACGAACTACAGAATTATATTCTAACTTTCTGAAGGAAATCTAGAAATAACTGCTCACTGATGTCAGACAAACAGAAATATTGAAAAGTGTTTTTTCCAGAAGAAGTTAAAGAAAATACTTATTTTAAAACGTGAACCACAACAAATTTAGGAAAAATAATTAACCGATACCTGTTGTAAGATCAGATGTACATAACCAACAGTCTTACAACACTTTTTGACGCATGCCTTTAAGAAGTCAGTAATCTGTAGCATTTTTAGAAAGAACAATCATAGTCACAAGTTTTACAGGTTAACTACACTAGTGATGAATAAGTAATCTGATGTATAGTGAAATTCAGTAGTAGCTCTGTTGTTCACTAATCCTTTGGATATTTGGAAATATATATTATAAAAACGTCTCGTCTTCATTTTCTCAGTTCGTTGCTGACAATATAAATAGAACAGGCGACAAACATCTGCATTCAGAGGCACTGTGGAGAAGTTTACGCTTAGGTTAAGTGGTCTGTATTTAGAGTTATGCCTGATAACAACAGTCATTAAACTATGACAGTACCATGTTGACCAAGAATTTAAGCTTGTGAACTAGCAAATCAGTCCACAAACAAAATTGAAAAAGTATGCATAAGTATGTACAAAAATATGTACAAATAAGATCTATGTAAAATGAAGATTACGATAAGAATGTCCTAAGTAACCAGATAATTCGAAACTTACATGCTTCCTTGACTACTGTCGGCTTGCTTATGACTTTCTTTGGTCTTTGTAACTCCACTACTTTGTTCCAAGCTTCACAATGGCAAACATATGAGTCGAACCATTCTTCGACTTCTCGAGCTTTGACCTTCATACGTAACACCCAGCGTTTCCCTTCTGGATCTGGTTGGTTTTCTGAATTTAATTGTGTGACTTGTAACCTTCCAGATTCACCGGGACCTTTGTAAGGTATCGTCTGTTCAGCACATTTAATGGCAGCATGTGAAACTGGTTCAGCTACACATTCAATCGTTGCTGGATGATCCTTCATTGTGTAATATTGTGGCTTTGGATGTTGAATAAAAGAGGGGACTCCTTCTAAGTGCGTTTCATCCGGTTGTACTAAATCCTTTTGTGAGTCAGCTGGGAAAGGATAAGAGAGAGTCAGGAAAACTTTAGCTGTAATCAGTAGAAATCTATGAAACATGATGTGTGTTATTCGCAGCTGACTCGGCAATTCAAGCATATGAGATTTATTGGTTTGGTGAATACTCAATAGACATTTTGATTAGAGTAAGGTTTAAACAGAAATTCAGCAATTTCTATGACCGCAATATATATGTGCACCAAAACTATAATTAAATCATATATGCAAAGCACTGGGAATTTAATCAACTGAAATCAACCAATCAGGAAGGTAGTTGGCTAATTCGAAAAGCCAATCATATGGAAGATGCACTATCTCAAATGAACCAATGACCTGAAAGGAATAAGTGTTTTGGGTAAAAATTTGCTGTGTATCTTTCATAATTCTCAGTCGCGTAGGATATTTTTGGAATTCAGTATTTCAAACACCAGTTTTGATTTGAAAAAGATTTTGCTTATACTTAGGCGTATTATTTCTTTGTTTTATAACAAGCAGTTTGAAGAAGAATCTTTCTCCAGGATACTGAATGATGATATTTTCCAGTTCGGTTTATAAATTCCTTTGCACGAACATACCACTGTCTCACTGCCGTTACTTCCAGAAACTTCCAGTCAGTTACTGACATTGCATGAATGCATTACGTACGAATAAGAAGTAAGTAGATACAGACACTATCTACACTTCTTAACCAGATTGTTCATTATTAAAAGTACGAGACTTGTAATATTTTACGGAACCACAGCAGTGATTCTGTTACTGTTCTTCCATATCAATACTTTTTCCTCAATGTATTTGGACTCGATGGCTTCGGGAGTTATCTCCAGGAGACCACTGCAAGCACTTCAACCTCACTTTGAACACCATCTTATAGCATATCGGTTGTTGGTTAGCAAGGTAAGTAAATATTGACAAAAATGTTGTGACAGTTTACTTAGGCTTATGGTGACTGTTGTAGGGGGTAACGAAGAAATTTATGCATTAGCGTACTAATTACAATGAAAAGAAAAAAATTATTTATATAGCGACGCCTTAAGTGTTGTAGAAACTAACCGACGAGTAGGTAAAATACAAAACAATAAAACACAATAATCGCTCCATAAAATACCTAACTCCATAATAATTCTAATCTTCGATACATGAAACTTCAAATTAGGTTACATATTAAAATAGATTATGACCTTTCGTTAAGACTTAACCGCACGATGTCACAAATATTGGTCACCGAAAGGAGAGTTGACATTCGTAATAAGGTAACAGCAGATAAAGAAATGAAGGCCATTTCCTGGAATTTCAGAAGTACCCCCTGAAGCCTGATTTCGACACAAGTTTCGTGCTTCATAGAAACGTTTAGGAAAACTTATCTTCTCTCTATCCTTAGGCAAACAGAAAGTTACTTTTGGCTTCCGTATCGACTAGCGCTGGGACGTGACAAGGTGTAGATAAATTATTTATAGGGCTGGATAGACCAGGTATTGGGTGCCATTTCTATCTCTAAAAGCTGATTACAGTCCTGATGACTGTTAGAAACAAAGTCATACTACGCGAAACACCAACGCAGCGTTTAAGTTTATGCTGAAGTAGTTGGTAGGGTGCTTAAAGGCAGGTCTTCTGCTGTGTATGTTGATGAGTTGGTGATATTTGATTAAGAAGTGTATCCAGCACGTCCTAGGTGGTAAAAATAAATGTCATCAAAACAGTCCCCATTAAAAAAACCAAAAAGACTATAGAAAATAGTTTATAAAATGAAGCTTAAACGGTATGAAATTCAGTAACTATACAATAATAGTATCGCTTATCTAAGGCACAGCGAAATTGACTTCACTAAATGACATACCTTGGAGAGCTAGAGTCTATTTGAACCAGTTGCAAAATATAATATATATATTTTTTCCATTGATGCTACGAAAGAATTCACTGAGTGTGACAATAATGTTTTAGATGAAAAAGTTTACTAAAGCCACTAAACTGTTTTTTCCTGTATGCTTAATCTAGTACTGCCGGTATCCGACATTTTGCTGTGTAAGCTATGTGTGATGTGACTGATATTAGTGGTTATAAATCCGTTCAATGTGAACAATGAGTAGTTTTGAGCATAATTTTTAATAAATCCCTTCTTTTACTTCAATATTACTAACCTGTAGTACCACATTAAGCTTAAATGGTGACATGCAAGATACAGGCATTTCCAATCTAGCAAAACTTTTATTCAAATTATCCGCTATCGTGACAAGCGTTTGACTTCGTCTGACAATACTACCAAACATTTGTAAGTAGTATATATACTTATTTTGAATTTATCGACTACTTTCCAGTTTTCTAGAAGCCATCACTATATTGATATCAGCAAAAATGACCGTCATTTCACCGTAATAGTCAGCTGTGGGTTGTCAACAAGATGGTTATTTAGAAAAGGAGTGGTACTTCTGGGACGGAAAAATAGGGTGTCATAAGAGGTAGTATCAAAGCATCCGCATAGGAGCTCATATGGCAACATAGATTGAGCGATTCGACCCTATTTTAGCAATGGGAAATTACAAGTATTTAGAAAATAACTGATACCCGTTTTACAAGAAGTGGCATAGTGGATTTATCTGGAGTTTGAAGCGATGCGTACTGGGTTCGAGTTTTAGGGAGAAGAGCACTCGCTGGTGTGCAGGTGCATCGAGCTAACGAGTCCCAAAAAGACGAATTGTGCGTTCTTGATTCCCCTGTTAGCTACTAAGCAGATGGTATCATGACACATACAGGATAAAATAATTGGTCATGGACAGCTGTAAACAGTCTCATTTTTATTACTGTCAAACTTTCTAATCATTTCTGAACACTTATTCTGCCTTTAAAATTGATGTTTCGTTGCAGAAAGGTACAGTAATAGACTACTGGTCATTCTACTATTTCCTGCTTCCATGTCAGCCAAGCACTGACTTCAGTTCGTTTCGAAGTAACCATAGTGAGGGGTTTTAGTTTTTAAATAGTATCACTAAGTGGTGTACTTATTTTGAACAGTTTATTTATCATGTATACATCAATATACTTCACTTGTTTACTGTGATTTAATTATGTTCCTAGATTGTGATTGATTCTTGATCAACATATTTCATTCTTCCAATAAGTATTTATGACATTTAAATAAAATTCACAATACGACATCCAATTCTCAGTTGTTCATTCAACTTTCTAACATTACCATTTATTGAATACCAAGAAAAGGCAATAGAAAAAGTTTTCGCTACCCCTCATGTAACCTTTTCTTTATTGTATCTTTCGGAATATGCCCTGTTGCACTTGTGACGTTCATGGAAGTATGAATTCAAAAGACTACTGTACAAACCAGTTTATTTGCAACATTATGTTACAGTCCATTTTGGTTGCAAGAGGGAAATAAACATTCATCCAATATTTTCTTCATTCTACTTTTGTCTGCATGAAAGAATGCAACTGTTGCTTGTTTTTTTCTAAATAAACAGTTCATTAACGGAAATTCTCTAAAAAACTATTCCAAGTGCACACAGTGGCCTCGTTTTGCCTGTCTTTCAACAAAAACCTGTCAACTAAATACACCACATAGAAAGAGAAACAGAAAATAAGAACATTGACAGACATATATCAGAAAAGGTAGCCATTTCCACTACTTCTATGACACATCTACGTATAAGCGAACACAAACACACTTTATCATATATATCTTTACATTATTGCACACTAAGACATGTGTGTATGTGTACATGCCTCCATTTTTTTCTGAAATCCTAGTATGCTTTAAAAACTAGGTATACCAAAAAGAAATATTCGTTTTACTTTCGGTGTATTGCAAAAATAAGTAGCAAGATAGATTTTGCAAGATTTGGCATATTTTGGAAAATAGTAAAAAAAAGCAGTAAATATGCTTCTTTCAGAAGGCAACAAAAGTTGCAACACATAATGCAACACTCACATTTTCCTATCACCCACTTATACAATGAGCCTAAACTTTAAGCAGATACAAAAGGGCTACTTAAATCTCTGGAATCATTCAATATTTTTCTCTTCAAACCATCACTAATAATAGTGATATATTTATTTTGTCATTAGGCCGAAATTAAATGGCAGTAGCAATCTTCAAGTGCTCGCCTCAAAAATATAAATTTTTTCTCTTACAAACAAACCTTCCATCAGAGTAGATTTTTTAGCGAAATTATCGGAGGCATTAAACTTCTGTTTCATCTCAACCTCGACTATGTGCCATGATCACATTTGTTATCTCTTTTAAAACTACCCAATAATACAGACTCTGTCCCATGTTACATTCTGCAGTGTATCTCGAAACCTCACAAAGAAGCATTACCAAGCAAAATGAATCCATTTTATACACAGGTGTTACCCACAATGTTTTACTGAAGTAAGAAAATGCTTTAAAATAATGAATCATGAATTTTTTTGAGAAATTAAGTTGCCTACATATTCATCTAGTCATTGATGAATATTCGAATACAGCCTAGTAGTGTCAGTAGTCATATATGAAAACTTTTTTGAATGATAAGAAAAACTTTATATTTTTGAATTTTCCAGTGGCTGTTCAGCCGTACAATATCTAAATATTTAATGTTGAAGACTGTAGGTTTATGAATGGTGATGTTAAATCTATCGCTAAGACACACAATATCTGAAACTGAAAACTTCCAAGAGGTCAGAAATAGCAGAGAACACTGAGACGAAACTGACCCTCCCTTCAAACTATCCATTCAATCAGTATTGATTTTCGCTTCATCTACATTGTCTATTTACTTGAAAACTAGTGAATATCAATGATACCTCTATCTTAAATGTGTTCTGAACGTAGAAGATCTTTGCATATTACTTTGTAATATCATTTCAAGTGTGAACATACGCTGTGAAAATCTACAATCGCTGAATAACGATAAAAATGATAGCGATATGTTGACTTTTAAGTAATAAACTTGTAATTAGAAGTGTATTGTACAATTTTTTAGGTAAGGTTACACTTAGTTGAGGTGTATGGGTACAAGTTAATTCAAATGGTTCATTTTTATCTAGTTAGCAGTAATTATTTTTCGGGTCAAAGTTTATCATTTTCTTCTGTATCGTTTGATTTACAATTCTGTTTATATTTACTTCTGCTTTCAATGAAAATTACCTTCACCTAATCACAAATAAAATCCTTATCGATAATTATCTTGTGAACCAACAGACTTTTCCACCAGTTATGCTG